TCTCATAAAAACCAAACAAAACAACACAAGCCATAGTTATAGTTATTGGCCCTCTTACTAACAAACATAATGACTTACTATAATAAAACTTGATCCTAGTTCCTACTCCCTCCTTCCCTAATAGCTGCTCTCACCTTCAATTCCCATCCCCCCCAACTCTACAGGGAGGGTGACATCCAAGAGGGGAAATCAAATTCTGTCAAATCATTTGGAGTAGTATCTAGAACTTCCCTCCTGCTTCTAGGCTAAAGGAGTATTCCTCCACGGGGAATGTGCTCCCAAATCCTTTTATGCACCACGGACACATCCTGGTATATCTGTCAGAGGTCCCTTAGACTCCCCAGGCCTTCTAACTGACGTCCAAGTTCAGAGATATAATTCAGTACAGTGCTGGTTTCCCAGCTATCAGTCTGGGGGCCATGAGCTCACCCTTGTTCGGGTTAGTTGTATCTGTTGGTTTCAGTAGCCTGGACTTGACCAATTTTCTTATCACTCATCCCTCTTTGCAACTGGATTCCAAGAGTTCAGCTCAGTGTTTAGCTGTGGGTTTCTGCTTCTATTTCCATCAGCTACTAGATGGGGGCTTAATGATGGCATATAGTTATCTATCTCATTATCAGGGAAGGGTATTTAAGGTAGCCTTTCTACGATTGCTCAGATTGATAATTGGGGTTATCCTTGTAGGTCTCTGAACATTTCTCTAGAGTCCATTTTCTCTTCAAACTTATAATGGCTCCCTCTATTATTTTATCTTAATTTTTCTCTCTCATGTATTAGTCTCCCAATTTAATCTTCCTGGACCCACATGTGCTCTGTTCCTCCCCTTCTCTTTCTACTGACACTCCACTCACTAACCCCACCCACTCGCAATATGCTCAGGAGATCCTGTCCTTTCCCCTTTTATGAGGGACCTTGTATTATTGTCTTTGGTTCCTCCTTGTATACTAGTTTCTCTCACGGTGAGAATTATATGCTGGCGATCCTTTGCTCTATGTCTCAAATCCATATATAAGTGAGTACATACCATGTTCCTCTTTTTATGAGGGGTTTACCTCAATCAGGATGGTTTCTTCAAGTTCCATCCATGTACCTACAATTTCAAGATTCCATTGTTTTTTTTTTTTTTTCAGCAGAGTAGTAATTCATTGTGTAAATGTACAACATCTTTATCAATTTTCAGATGAGGGGCTTCTAGATTGCTTCCAGATTCCTGCAATTTCAAATAATGCTGCTATTTACACAGATGATCAGATGTCTCTGTTACATGGATGTGTATATGCCCAAGGGTGGAATTGCCAGGGCTTGTGGTGAACTGATTTCGATTTTCTTGAGGAACCACAATACTGATCTCCAAAATGGCTGTACAAATTTGCACTCCTGCCGGCAGTGAAGGAGTGTTACCCTTTCCCCACATTCTTTCCACCATAAGCTGCCATTGGTGTTTCTAAGTTTAGTCATTCTGACAAGAATAATATGGTAACTCAGTTGTTTTGATTTGCATTTCCCTGATGGCTAAGACTGTTAAGCACTTTCTTAAGTCTCTTTCAGCCATTTTGGATTCCTCTATTGAGAATTCTCTCTTCATTTGTTGTGTTGGTAACTAGTTTCTTGAGTTATTTGTCTACTGTAGAGATCATCCTTCTGTCAGATGTGGGGTTGGTGAAGATCTTTTCCCAGTCTGTGCACTGACATTTGGTCTTGCTGACTCTGTACTTTGCCTTACAGAAGCTTCTCAATTTGAGGAGGTCCCATTTATGAATTTCCAATCTCAGTGACTGTGCTACTGGTGTTATATTCAGGAAGCTGTCTCCTGTACCAATTTGTTCAAGAGTACCTCCCACTTTCTCTTCTAAGTGTGGATGGTTTTATGTTGAGGTCTTTGATTTATTAGATGTTTCTGTGAATTCTTCCTTTGCCACATCATTGTCTGTAATTTTTTTTTTTACTTAATCTTGTATCCTGCTAATTTGCTGAATGTGTTTTCCAGCCATAGGAGTTCCCTGGTAGAGTTTATTGGACCACTTATGGAAACTATCATATCATATGCAAATATTGACATTTTGACTTCTTCCTTTCAAATTTGTATCCCTTTGTTTTCCCTTTGTTTTCTTATTGCTTTAGCTAGAACTTCAAGTACATTATTGAAGAGATATGTAGAGAGAGGGCAGCCTTGTCATGTTCCTCATTTTAGAGGAATTGCCTTAAGCTTCTCTCCTTTCAGTATGATGTTGGCTGTTGGTTTACTATATATTGCTTTTATAATATTTAGGTATGTTTTTGGTTTCCATGATCTCTCCAAGGGTGTTCAATTTTTTCAAAGGCCTTTTCAGCATCTTAGTGGGATTATAATGTGGTTATTCCTTCTCGGTTTGTTTTTGTTGTGGGGCTCATTGATAGATTTTTGTATGTTGAACCATCCCTGCGTCCCTGGGATGAAGCCTGTTTTCTCATGTTGGATGAGTTCTCTGATGTGAATTTGGATTCAATTTACCAGTATTTAATATAGTATATTTGGATCAATGTTCATGAGTGATGTTGGTCTGTAGTTCTCCTTCTTATTTGTGCATTTGTGTGACTTGTGTAACAAGCCCCATAAAAAGAGTTTGGTAATATGTGAGGTTTATGTGAGCTTTCAGTTTTATTAGTGTTTCTTTTATATATGTGGGTGCCTTTGTATATGGAGCATAGATGTTCAGAATTGAGACATTGTACTGATGGACTTCTCTTATGATATGTATGAAATGGCCATCTTTTGGTTGATTTTGGTTTGAAGTCTAACTTGGTAGATATTAGGACAACTGCACCTTCTTGCTTCCTGGGCCCAAATGATTGGAAGTTCTTTCCCCAACCCTTTTTCTCTAGGTTAGTATCTGTCTTTGAAGCTTAGATGTGTTTCTTGTTACACCAAAAGGGTAGATTCTGTCTTCAGATCTATTAGACTGTGTCTTTTTATATGCAAGTTTAGACCATTAATGTTGGTGGAAAGTAAGGACCATTCATTCATTAATTATTAATTCTTATTTGTTTTAGATTTCTTTTTGTTGTTGTTGGCAGTGGTATTGTTGTGTATATTTCCTATGCTATTATTTTTGGGTTCTGGTGAAGGAGTATTATCTATTGGCTAGTTGTTTGTTATTGTAGTTAATGTCCTTGGGTTGGAGTTTTCCTTCAAGAACATTCTGCATGGATGGATTTATGGATATGTATTGTGAAAATCTGGCTTTGTCATTAAATATCTTGTTTTCTCCATCTATAGTGATTGAGAGTTTTGTTGGGTATGGTAGCCTTGGCTGGAATCTGTGAACTCTTAGTACTTGTAGAACAGCTCTCCAGGACATTCTGGCCTTGATAGTTACCATGTAGAATTCAGGTGCAATTTTGATATTTTGATTGATATTTTTATTGCCATTATAAATTACCTGGTCTTTGTTCTTCTTGTCCTTAATATTATTTATTTATTCTGTATGTTAGATGTTTTGATTATGATGAGTCAATGGGAGTTTGTTTTTTGTTGTTGCTGTTGTTGTTGTTGATTTGTTTTTTTTCCTGTCTATTTGTTTTGGGTATGCATCTTGTATTTTCATAAGCACATTTTCTTCAAATGGAAAAGTTCTCTTCAGATTGGGAAAGTTTTCTTCAATGATTTTTTTGAATATATTTTCTGCACCTTTGAGCTGGGTTTCTTCACCTTCTTGGCCTATTATTCTTAGGTTTGGCCTTTTCACACTATCCTAAGTTTCTACTATGTTTTGTTGGATTTAACATTTTCTTTGGTCAATGAATCTATTTCCTGTAGTTTATCTTCAACTCCTGAGATTCTGTCTTCAGTCTCTTATATTCTATTGGTTATTCTTGTGTCTGCAGTTCCTGATCATTTACACAGGTTTTCTGTTTTAAGCATTCCCTCAATTAGTGATTTCTTTATTGTCTCTATATCAGTTTTCAGGTCTTGAATAGTTTGAATTGCTTCCTTCATCTGTTTTATTGTTTTTTCATTGCTTTCTTTACTTTCTTTAAGAGATTTTTTTTTATTTCATTCATATATTCTGTGGTCTTTTTCTCTATTTCTTCCAATTTATTGTTTGTTTTTTTTTCCTTCCATTTTTTTAAAATTTATTTTATATAACAAAGTCCATTTAAATGAAAAAAAAATTATAGACAATATTTGGGAATTTGGGCTTTGTTCTTTCCAAACTACTTCCTGCTGGTAACGGGGGCTCTCATGGGGGATTCGAAGAAGACTCAGAGATCCTGGCCGTAGTCTGTAAGGCTGCTTTGTCCAGCTGTTTTGAATGTAGGATCACCTCGTACTCTGTTTCAGGCGGTCTGGCTTGATCAAACCACTTTAGTCTGGATTTCTTCCATTTCTTTAAGGGATTTTTTTTTCTCATAGCATCTTTGAGGGCCTGTGTTATTTTTAAGAATTTTTTTTTATGTCATTCTCTTCTTCATCTGTTTTGATATGTTTAGTTCTTTTTGGTGTGGAGTCCCTAGATTCTTGTTGTATCATACCCTTCTTTCTATTGTTGGGTGTTTTCTTCTATTGCTGTCTTCCCTTCGCTTATTCCAGTGTGTGAAGCTGGAGTTTCTGTCTCTCTTTACCCTGCTGTCCTGGTGAATGTAGGTGGGTCAGGAGTTCAATGTCTGCAACCCTGGATAATCCAAGTTATCTTGGAGATTTCTCCCCTGGCAGAGGGCAGTTGGTGGGGTTCAAAGATTAGGACAGTTTAGCATCAAGGTGTTCCTGAGTGGATAGGTGGTTCCAGTGGGTTCAGAGCAGAGCCAGAAAGTTCCACAGAAGTGGAGGGTTTGTTGGAACTACACTTTGGCCCAGTGCCAAATTTCATATCAGAGACACACAATTTTTTTTTCTTTTTTCTTTTTTTGAACATGGCCTTTGCTGTGTTGTATGACAATTGCTTTGTGTGATACACCATTTTTGATTCTAGTTGATTATATTGATGACCTACATTAAAAGGAATGACAAACTCTTTTTTAAGGAAAATAACAGTGGAGGAAAATTGTAGATTGAAGAAAGAGGAAGAACTTTTCAAAATGAACAAGAGAACCAGCCATGTGAACAAGGAACTAGAGACCTATAGGTAAGACATCCTCTTTCTTATTTTGATGCTTGGCATCAGGAAGCAGTAAAATAAAATGGCTTTATTGTTTTGTTTGATCTCAGACAAGGTCTCTGTATCCCTGACACATCGGGAACTCTTTCTGGAGGCAGACTTGCCTTGAACTCAAAGATCTGCCTGCCTCTGCCTACCAAGAGCTAGGACTAAAGGCTTGTGTGCCCTAACACCACTACTCAGTGAATTGGCACATTTTTGTTTCATTACTTTGTATTTGAACTTCATGGAATTTTGTTGATATTCAGAAAATATAAAAAGGAAAATTTTCTTTTTGGGGATTTTGATATATAAGTATAAGCATATTTTATGTAAACATGAAGAAGTTTATAAATAGGTATGGATGTTTTGTGTGTTGGCACTGGGAGGTGGAAAAGAATGGTCACAAGATCAAGACCAATATTGGCTAAATAGTGAGTATGAAACTAGCTTGGACTGCATGCGACCCTGTCTTCAAGAAGGACATGATGAGCAGGTAATTCAAACTCATTCATGAAGATTTTTTCAGCTGGGGAAGAATATACACAGTACTAGCATTCAGCAAGTTTGCCATGAAATGAACAAGCCACTCATAGAATTTTAGTAAATGATTAGCTAGTCTTTGGTTCAGTCCTCAGTGGACCTGAGGAAACACTAGAATGTCTGTTAGATGCTCACCACAGCAACTGTCATAGGACACTTCTATCAACTTTAGGAAGAGTAAGTTTGGGCTTTGTCTAAAAGGACAAATTACTTTTTTGTTTCATAAACACAGTAAGTTACTTATACTTTTACCTCTTATGAGTTCCTCTCCTGAGCTGGGCATTGGAATCAGAGGCAGGTGGATCTCTGTCAGCTCAAGTCCAGCCTGGTATACAGAGCCAGTTCTAGGATTGTTAGGGCTACAGAGAAACCCTGTCTTGAAGTTAAAAACAAACAAAACAAAGCAAACAAAAAAGATTTCCTTTCCTGTGAATCTGTTAATTTTATAGGATCTGAGTTAATCTTTCATGGTTTTGAGTCCTGAAAACGAAATCCAGATGATCAGGTATGCTTGCCTGTGCCTGAGACTTTTGTACTTAGGATGGGGGCATGGTAAGATTGTAATTGAGCCCGTGAACAGGCTGCTTGAGACCTTCTGTACTGTGTAAATTTTTGTGACATTGTGTTAGTCATATCCAAGTAGTAGTACTCACATAGTTTAATTGACATTAGACCTATGGGAGGAGAAGATGGTCTTTAATACCTGACAGTATCTCTCAAAATAGGAGTCTTGTGGTTATAATTAAATAAGGAAGAACACTCAGTAGTATCCTTGTAGCCACGTGTTGTTATTCTTTGTTATATGTCAGCACAATGGAGTAACTATTTGTTCCATGTAGACAGCGTGCCAAGGATATCGAAGAAGAATTGGAGAGAACAATTTTCTCCTATCAAGGGCAGGTATGTGTGTCAAGTGACAGCTGTATATGCAGTTAGAGCACTCTGACTGGATAGAACTGATGCAGGACTGTAGCTTTCATCACTCCCGATGTGTTTTGTGAAACTGAAATATACACAGAGAGCCAACGATACTGAAATATAAAACTTCTGCAACTTCCATTTCTTTTGGAATGAGTATTATATAGCAAAGCAATGTGTCACCATCACAGTCCCATGTTGGGATTGTTATCTGTTCCTTGGAAACTCTAGTAGTTGATCATCTTCTGCAGTTTGTTGTCATTAAAAACACTTATGTTCAGGTTTGTTAAAAATTTCAGGAGAGAAAATCATCTGTATATGTGAAATCATGCTTTCAAAATGGTTATAGTGCTTCAGAGATGCCTAGGCAGTGGGAATTATGGTTTGGACCAAGAATTTTAGTGGTGGTAATGAATTTTTTTTATTTACGAATAATTTTAATAATTGTTTTTTAGGTTCTTGCTCATGAACAAAGGGCACATGACTATTGGGTAAGTTTTTAAGTCCCGTAACATATACTATTCATTTTATATTAGGTAAATGTATAGACGGTATTTAAAAATAATCACTTTCTATGAATTTTATTAATTTCACCAGTATTGAAATTATATTACAGGACAGACTATAGCAAGCACTGAGAATTAATCTTTTATTTTGTGCTTTACTTGTACATTTCCCACTGAATATAATTAGTTTAAAAATCACAAAGTCTTGAGAAGGAGTTTTGGGGGTTAGAGAGAGAGCTCAGTATTTCATCTCAGCACTTGCTGCTCTTCCAGAAGACCTGAGCTGTGTTTGGTCCTGAGCAAGTCAGATGGCTCACATTTGCCTGTCATTCTACTTCTGTCCTCTTAAGACACCTCCACTCACACTCGTGTGTGCATGGACACACACATAACATGTGCACACATCTTCATATTTATGTGTTATACAGTGAGCACCTTGTACGTCCAGGTATATCAGAGTCAGGAGAAACACGTATGTACATAAAACTAAGCAAAATTTTAAAAGAGTTAAGTGAATTGTAACATTTTACTAGCTCAGGGTATTGTACTGAATTCCTTTTTGTTTAAAATTGATTTTATGATTACAATTGGAAAATAATTACACACAGAGAAACATCCTTTTTGGAGCAAGGGTTTGAGGCAAGGTTTCTTTGTGTATTGATGGCAATCCTGGAATTATGTCTGTAGACCAAGGTGGCCTTAGTGATGCACCTGCCTCTACCTCCTTTGTACTGGGATTAAAGTTGTGCACCACCATTGCCTAGCTAAAAGAAAAAATTGATAGTAGTAAAATATATTTAAGCTATATTTACAGTGGATGTTAAGTGCATTCATTGGCTAAAGTCAATTCTCATCTATATTGCAAAGTTATTGACAGTAGAGTCCCTTTAATTTGAAGTGTGTTAGTGTTTGCTACTTATAAATGATAAGCTTACATTTTGAATTGATCTATCTATTGTATTCTATATTCTGTATCTGATCTGTAGAGTCAACAGATTGGCTGGGAAGCAGGTAGAATAACATATGTGTGGCTTTTGTTAATGATTATTTGAGAGTATTGCAGGTTCTTGGTATTTATTATAACTAAGCTGGGCAAGGTGCTGCACACTACCAACAAATGCACAGATACAAATAATAACTGCTGCAATTGTGTTTGTGAATCGTCTCATATTTGATAGTTGTGCGATATGTATAGATTATATTTAGCTATTAAAAAATGACCTGTAATGGCATTCTGTGAAACTGTTTTAGACATTTGTATTTTCCAGTATTATGGACCTAAGGACCATCCATTTCCATTGACTTTGCTCTAAGGTAGTCTGCTAGCCTCTTATGATTGGATGTTTTCATCATCAAATGATTTTAGGCACTGATATTGCATTTAAACAGCAACATTAATTGACAAGTACCAATGAAACTCCAGCTTTACATTTATGCATGTGGCTGGCATAAAACTCATTCCCTTTTTGAATAATTCCCGAAAGTAAAAATGATTTATATTGACTACAATAAGTGCCAATTCTCTTTTATTTATTTAATATTTATTTATTTTCTTATTTTACATATGAATCCCAGTTCCTGCTCCATCCCTTCCTGCTCCCTTTCTTCTACCCTTCCATGCCCAACCACCACCCTCAACTAACTTCTCCCCACTGCACATGTAGGGTGATGAGTTCCTAAATGGGTCATCTAAATCTGTCCAATCATTTGGAGTAGGAACTAGGCCCTCCCTCTTGCCTCTAGGTGCAAGGAGTATCCCTCAATAGGGAACATGCTCCAAAAGTCCTATTATGGACCAGGGATATATCCTGGTACCACAGTCAGAGGTCCCTTAGTCTGGCCAGGCCTTCTGAGACCCATGTTTAGGGGGTCTGAGTTGTACAAATGCTGGATTCATAGCTATCAGTCTGTGACCCATTAGCTCCTCCTTGTTTAGGTCAGTTGTCTCTATATGTTTATATAGCCTGGTTTTGTCCTCCATCTCTGCATCTGGATTCCAGTATGGCACAGTGTTTAGCTGTGTGTATCTGTTTCTATTTCTATCAGCTTCAAGATGAGGGCTAAATGATTGTACATAAGTTAGTCATCAATCTCCTTATCAGGGAAGGGCATTCATAGTAGCCTAGCAAATGTTGCTCAAATTGTAAAATGGGATGAGACTTGTAGGTCTCTGTACATTTCTCTATAATCATTTTTTATAGAATCCTATAATGGCTCCCTCTTTTATGGTATTTCTCTCTCTGTGTGTTTTTCACATCTATTCCTTCCCTAACTCAATCTTTCTAGTCTCATGTGCTTTACTCTCCTGCCCTTCTCTTTCTCCTAGTCCACTCTGCACTCACTGCCCCACCACTCTGAATATTCTCAGGAGATCTTGCACCCCCCCGTGAGAGATCACGTATGAATCTCTTAGAAATGTCTTGTATCCTAGTCTCATCACTGGCACTGTAAATTATAAGCCAGTGATCCTCTGCTCTATGTCTAATATCCATATAAGTGAATATGTACCATGTCCCTCTTTTTGTTACTGGGTTACCTCATTCAGGATGGTTTCTTCAAGTTCCATCCACTTGCCTGCAAAGTTCAATATTCCATTGTTTCTTTCTGGCAGAGTAGTAATACATTGTGTAAATGTGCCACATACTCATTGTCTATTCTTCTGTTGAGGGGCATCTAGGTTGCTTCTAGATTCTTGCAATTACAAATAATGCTGCTATGAATATAGTAAACAGATATCTTTTTTGCATGGATGTGGATCATTTGGGTATATGCCTAAGTATGGGATTGCTGGGTCCTGTGATAAACTGATTCCCATTTTTCCTTAAAATCATCATAATGATCTTTAAAATGGCTGTACTTTTTGCACTCCTGCCAGCAGTATAGGAGTTATCCTGTTTCTCCATATCCTCTCCAGCATAAGTTGTCATGGTGTTCCTAATTTTAGTATTTCTGGTAAGATGGTATCTCAAAATTGTTTTGATTTGCATTTCCTTGGTAGCTAAGGATTTTGAGAACTTTCTTAAGAGTCTTGAATCCTTTTTGATTTCCATAATTGAGATTTCTCTCTTCAGTTCTGTGCGCCATTTTTAATAGGGTTATTTGGTGTTTGCTGACTAGTTTCTTGAGTTCTTTGTATATTTTGGAGGTCGACCCTCTTTCAGATGTATGATCGGTGAAGATCTTTTCCAAGTCTGTAGGCTGTCTTTCCATTTTCTGGTATCTTCTTTAATTTCTTTCTTTAGAGCCACAAATTTCTTATTATATAGATCTTTTACTTGTTTGGTAAGCATTACACCAAGATACTTTATGTTGCTTGTGGCTATCGTAAAGGGTGATGTTTCTCTGATTTCTTTCTCTACCTCTTTGTCGTCTGAATAAAGTAGGGCTACTGATTTTTTTGAGTTTATCTTTTAACCTGCTAGTTTGCTGAAGGTGTTTATCCTCTCCACTTTGTTTGATGTTGGCTGTTGGTTTACTGTATATTGCTTTTATTCATTTAGGTATGTTCCTGTTATCCCTGATCTCTCCAAGACCTCTATCACGAAAGGTATTGGATTTTCTCAAAGGCTTTTTCAGCATCCAGTGAGATGATTACATTGTTTTTCTTTTTCAGTTTGTTTATATGGTAGATCACATTGATAGATTTTCATAAGTTGACCTGTCCCTGTAACCCAGGGATGAAGCCTATTTAGTCATGTTAGATGATTTCTCTGATGTGCTCTTGGGTTCGATTTTCCAGTACTTTATTGAGTATTTTTGCATCAATATTCATGAGGGATATTGGTCTGTAGTTCTCTTTTTTGTTGTGTCTTCTTTTGGCTTAGTTACCAAGGTAATTGTGGCCTTGCAAAAAGAGCTTGGTAATGGACATTCTACTTCTATTCTGTGAAACAATTTGTGGAGTTATGTTATTAGCTTTAGTTGGAATTTATGGTAGACTTCAGCACTGAAGCCATCTGGCCCTGGACTTTTTTGGTTGGGAGGCTTCCAATGACTGCCTCTATTTCAGTAGGGATTATAGGTATTTTTAAGGTGCTCATCTGTTCTTGATTTAATTTTAGTTAGTGATAGTTATTGAGAAATTTGTCCATTTACTTTGAGTTTTTAAATTTTATGGAGCATAGGGTTTCAAAGTATGACCTGAAAATTGTCTGGATTTCCCCAGTGTCGGTTGTTATGTCTCCTTCCTTGTTTCTGATTTTGTTATTTTGTGTATTCTCTCTCTGCTTTTGTGTTAATTTGGATAAAGATTTGTCTATCTTGTTCATTTCCTCAAAAAGTGAACTCTTTATTGCATTGATTTTTGTATTGTTTTCCAGGAATCTCCTTTATTGATATTAGCCCTCAAATTATTTCCTTGCTACTATACCTCTGGGGTGAGTTTGCTTCTTTTTGTTCTAGGGCTTTCAGTTTTGCTGTTAATTATCTAATATGACTATTCTCAGTTTTCTTCATATGGGCACTTAGCTAAATGAACTTCCCTCATAGCACTCTTTCAAGGTGTCCGATAATTTCGCATATGTTGTGTCCTCATTCTTGTTGAATTCTAGTAGAAACATATTTACAGAGTGACATCTCCCATCACCTTCAAAGTTTGATTATTGGGAAGTATATGGTCACAAATTTCCATATGTATGGTGTCAGGCACATTTGAATCGTACTCTGAGTCAAACAGGGCAATCATTTTCATTTTCAGGCAATTGGGTATGCATACCCACTTCGAGATACATCTTGAGAGTTGTGTTATTTACCCAGGTAAAATTTTTCTAGAGATTTTAGCCTGCCTTCCACATTGCACATATAAAAATAAGCACCATTCCACTCAAACTTATGACCTTCATATTTTAAAAATCAGAACTGTTTTTGGGATGAACAGGTGACTCAGCTTTTAAAAGCACATATTGCTTTTGCAGAGGGCCTGAGTTCAGTTCCTAGCACACATATTGACTAGCTCAAGGTCCATGTAAACTTCATCTTTAGAGGAT